AAAGGCAAGCATGAACTTAGCATGCTTCCCTGTTGGGCACTGTAAACACTTCTGCGCTTCACCTTACACAAGGATGTAGGGGGGTGCCCAATAAAAAAAAAAAAAAAAAAAAATTTACCAGCAGGGGCAGATACAGAAATATCAAAGGGTGGGGGTCCAAGAAGTTGTGGGTGAAGGAAATGGCAAGCACAGCAAGCCCACCCAGCTGAGAGAATTTTTTTTTTTTTGAGGGAGGGGGGGGGCACTGTAAACCCCCAAGAATTTTTTCTTAAAATCTGACCAATATCATTGACATTTTCTGGCAATTTTGAAGCCACTTGCACTTGACATTAAGAAATATTCTGAGCTCAGTAGTAATTACTTTTCACTTTACAAAAATGCCTGTGTACAATACTGCATTAAAAAAAAAGAGTATTGGAGTTCCCTGATGAAAAAAGGGGTGTCCAGACTGCCCCTGCATCCACCCCTGCTTAGCCTCTGAGGACTCAGAACAAACCTGTCCCTGAATCTCATTTTGAAACACTGTTTCAGCTAATAATCATTCCTGTTAGAAATATCTTTCCAAACTCTAATACAGGAACTACAAAATTTATCTTTCCTAAGACTCTCTCGTACAGTCAGTGCAATATGTCTTTTAGATATGAGATCATGCAAGAAACTGGAAAAACTAATTGAATCTGTTCTAGTGTTCCTTGAAGACTGAAAATCCTGGTAAGGAGTCAACTACAATTTCTCGAGGCTCATGTTTTTGCCAGAACACAAGCATTCTTTGAGTATCACGTTTAATATCCCTTTGAGAGAGCCCTTAAATTATCCAATCATCTAATTGTGTAAAATAGAAAATTTAATTACTTTAGAGAATCTCTAAGAGGACATCCGAAGCCATGGTGAAGATTTTTAGAGCCACTTTCAACTCGTCTGAAAGCAAAAACCTTGGACTGGGAATAATACTTCTCGTCTGAAAGCCAGGAACTCTCAAAAACCTATAAATAAAAACATGCTAATAGACATTCTTCAGGTAAAGCATTCTTCTTTAAGCTCCATCTGACCTGCTGAACAATAGTTATTCTGTACCTGACATAAGGAGTAAATTTGTTCAGTCACTTGCATTCAAGGATAACCCTATTACCCCCTGTACTTCCTGAGGCTTTTACAGCAGAGTCTTGACTGAACATAACACAGATCAAATTATTGTATAAATTTCTTATGAAACATCTCTGCATAATTCCAATTAATTACAGAATTCTGATGGTTCAGGACAAAGTAATGAGGAATTATATTCATCTTCCGCCATAAGCTGTTCAAAGTTACGTTGAAACCCCTAGGGTCCTGAGCCTCAATACCTAGAAAATAAGGTAAGCTGCGACCCACTAGAAGAACACTATTGCTTCAGTGGTCAGCACCTACTAATGTAGGAGAAGCTGGGGGCAGAATTCATCTTAACACACTTGGGGTTTTCATATACAAAATTGTGTAGGATCTAAATTATAGCTTTAGGGTTTTCATACACATATTTGTGTATGAAGTCTAAAATTGAAAAAAAAAAAAAAAAATAAATTGTCTGTGTATGAATGCTAGACACACAAGATGCACATTTAGCAATCTCAGCGCAATCTGGCAACTATGTAGACTGCACTCCAAGGTGACCACACCGGTCTCCCTTTTGTGTTTAAAGGACCCAGGATATAATGTTGATCTACTTTTCCCACTCATTTTCTTGCAAATTGTGCTGATTTCTCATGCATCACAGTGATTTTATTTATTCATAACAGTGTTGTGAGAGTTTTGAACCATGCCTCATGTTACTGGTGAGGGTGGAGGGGGTGGGAAAAAATAAAAAGTGCTAAGAGATTGCACTACATGGTGATAGTGTGGTGCAGCCTGAAAATTTTTTTCACAATCTTTCTTCTATAACTATTTTTTCCTAAATATGTACACTTTATAATGGAATGAGGTTCCTCTTAAAATCACATGAAATAATGAAGGTATAGAGTGATGTATAAACATTTTCATTAAGCGTAAAAACAAATTTTGTGTTCATCTCGTGCTTATGTATAGAAATAATTTTTTATCATGATTACTCATACAAAACTGTTTGTCGATAATTTATTTACAACGTTAGTGCAACAAATCCCACCTTTTTATCTAAAATAGCCAGCTTGCTATAGCTCATTACGTACAATTATCTCTCGTGTGGTGCAGTCAAGTGTGGTGAGTTGAGTAACAGGTCAGATCCCACCGAGGGTCTCACGGGAGACAGTCTGCCCAAACCCAAGAGTGTTAATCTTCTTTTTTGACTTGGCCACAAAACTGGTTAATTAACATTATCTCTTGAACAACAAGTGAGAAAAAGGCTATCTTATTCTTCCTGGCCACTGCAACAAATATTTAACAGAGAAAAAAAAGAATACAAATTTTCAAACCTTTCACCAATATTCTAAGCTTCACATCACAGAAAGAACGGGGGAGGAAACTTGTTAAACTCTATTTACTCCAAATGAATGACAGCCCATGTCACAGCCATCAGAAATACTGTACCTTACAACTGGGAGCCCCATAAACCCCAATACCAGCCTGGAGACAGGACACGGACAGAGCAACCTGAAACACTGCTTCAAACTAGGCTCATCTAACATGAAGTGCTTCAATTTCAGAAAAACAACAAAATGGGATTTTTTTCATTATTCACAGTTCACAAAAGTAGCAGCCTACCGTAAGTCATGGCAAACAAGCTACCCGGTAAATAATATTAAACTTAGAGAAACAAGGTGACAACTTGACCCCAGTCAATAAAAGCAACGTAACTTATAGATAATGAAATTATTTCATTCTCTTTTGGGTGTTTCCCTGGAAAAGAGCCTTGAAGATGCTCTCATTTGTGAGGTTTAACATGATGGAGAGTCATAAATCAGATTTTATGGGTAGTGGATGAAATTGATTGCTCTCAATAAAACAACCTAATCCAATGATGGGTTCCCTATGTTCTATTACAGAGTACACACTAACTCATAAAAGGAGATAATATTTACAGGACCCATTTATTTTGAGTTGATATGCATATTCTTCCATAATAAATCCTCCAATGTTTTTCTGACCCAGGCCTGGCATCATATAACAAACCATATAATGAAACTAATTGGGCTGCTCACCAAGGAATCATATGCAGGTATTGTAATTCCCTTGAAACAATTCAGGTGATTTTAGATCCTTGAACCATCACATCAGCTGCACCTTAGTTAAGTTGTACTGTACAGTAAGTGATCGTAAACACACTTGCAAATTTAAATATTAAAAGTAAAACATCACTGTCCCAGTAAGCCAGGGACAATATACTAAATTTCTCCCCTAAATAGAGGCACTATCAGCATATCATATCTGACTCAAATGAGGAGGGTAGTTGCAGTGAGGTGAAGAGTAGGTTGCACATAACTGTGCGACTTTACAATTTGTTACACCTCAGTTTTCTGTGATAACTATGGCTTCTAATACCCCCTGGTAAGGGCTATGATTGCTACATGAGTTGTCTGATCTTCAGATTAGCCTCTGCCAGCCACCATGGTTCAAGGTCCCTTGGATTCCTAATCCATAGGCTATGGTGGGATATACAGCACAAGTCACTCTTAAAAGGTGGTAGGATATAAAAAAGAACCTTACTGCACAGTATATCAGGCTATTTTCCCATATTCCTTCAGTCAGAAAGAGGGTAGCACTGCTAAGATTTCCCCTGAAAATGTCAAGTCATCATCAAGCAATGACTGAAGCATTTGCTGAAGAAATCCCCAGTTTGGTACTGACCACCTCTTTAGTACATCAGATACCCATCTCAAGGCAAAATGAGAAATAGATAGAGGCAAATTAATAAGCCACCCTTCTACCACTTCAATAATCAGAAAAGTAAAATACAGTGGTCCCTAGGTTAACGAACGCCTCGGTTAACGAAATTTCGGTTAACGAACTGCCTCCTATAAGATTCTTAAATTCAGTTAACGAAAAAAAATTCGGTTAACGAATTTCTTACGAACCGACCTCAACATGTTTTCGCTTGCACTGGCCGGTCAACCAGCTTTAGTATTAGTCCGCCAATACATTAATCGGTTCTAGGGCTTAAATTCCTTACTATTTTAGTAAATATCAAGAAGTTTATACTATTCAATAATTTTAAAAGTTTAATATTCAATTTTTCAGCCATTTTAACAATTATTGAACATAATTGAAGGTAAAGTGACTAGTTTAATGCGCGGCATCCAGCCTCTTAACACAGCAAACAGGCGTTAGTCTCTCTCTGTTTTCACTGGAGGTAACATCTTGCTTGAGACTCTTCAACTAAACGCTTTTTTGTGTGTTTCCAAGCAAATTATTGGTCATTTTGAAATATATTTTACATATTGACAATATATAATGCAGTGCAGTGTTGATTTAAAGAAAATAATCTTGAAATACACCAAGAGAACTAAAATTTTATGGGTGAAATGGTGCCATGGGGTGACTTCTCTTCCACCCCAATGCCTTCTCTTCTTCCTTCTCCTCCACCCCCATTCTATTTCCCATCATCATCATCATCATCCAGGAGCCTTCTACATACACACCTCAAAGTAAGTGAACTTTTCTACCATTTTTGTTGAATTTAGGCAATTTTCGGTGAGCTGGAACCAATTACCCAAAAACCCATTGAAACAATGGTTTCGGTTAACGAATTTTTCGGTTAACAAACAACCTACTGGAACGGATTGTGTTCGTTAACTGAGGGACCACTGTATAGAAAAAATAGCAGAAATTGAGAGATAGGATGGAGCAAAGCTTGATGGTAATGTTTAATATTGACACATGATAATGTTCCTTGTCAACATAAATGATTTAGTCAAAGTCCAGCTAAAAATACTGTACTCCCAAGGAAAGATACAACATTACCCATATTAGATATCACAAGTAGAAGTTTGATAACAGCACTTCTACAATAAGATACATTACAGTACTGTACATTATTTTAAATGACACAAAAATTATATACAGTAAACTCTTTAATATCTTGAATCTTTGACACAGAGGCCATAATATCAGGTTCTCAAAAAGTACCAGTTAGTTTAGAATACAGTATTACTCAAATAACAAAAAAAAAAAAAAATACATTATACAGGTACATAGAAATGTACATCAAACACTTTAAGGAACAAAGAAAAAAATTATCTCACAAATACTGGAGAAAGACTGCAGCTTTTGTTTACCCCTGGAGTAATCAATCACATTAACTACAGTGTTCTGTCACATGCCAGATACAAAGGGTTGACAGTACAGTTTTTTTTAGAATGAATTTGCATTAGGGGAGTCCTTGGGACTACTGGTTTCTAAAGTTTTCTCATTTGTTAAGGGCCATACATTAAAGGATTTACTGTAATATTTTTTTTGGTGCATGCAAGGCTTTTCCTGATATATTATGTCGGGTGACCAAACAGGTACTGGTCCCCTCATCCTTAGCATTCAATAAACCTTGTGAATTGCTGGAGTATGTTAGTATCCATACATAAGTAATTTTAATTCTCAACAATTAATAGGTTACTTTCCTTCAGACTAGACAAAAACAAAACAAAACAAAAGCAGAAGAATGTACAGATACTGTACTAGCGTATAATACTCTGTTATACCAACCCAAGTACAGTACATGTTATAATTTTATGAAAGTAATAAGTATTTAATTGTAAATACCACCACACTTAATGCTAAAAATGTTAAGAGTACACTGTATTTCATACAATCACCCATCAACATAGATGCTAACATAGGAAAACAAAGCCTTAAAATGTTGGCAATAAGTAGACATATAAAATTTATTCCTTGTGTTCTATTTGATCTATCCACGATTTATAGATACATGTACTACTGTACTGGCAGTCTTTGCAAGGAGACTAATAACTAAACAATGACCATTACAGTACTGTACCAGCCCAAGGTGGGAGGGAGAACCCCCAAGTTTGACTGCAACATTTACATACAGTATTAGTAAAATGAAAATACAGGTAGTACTGTAACATACTACAGGTATGATATCTGAGCACAAGACTAATAGTTTAATCTGCCTATGCCAATAAATCATCTTGGTGCTGCCTTCATAGAAACTGCATTTACTTAATTGTGATTATGAAATGTCACCTACTATGGTGGTATCAAATGATACATCCCTATTTCTTTAAAAAACCTACTAAAAAAATTTAAAGCATTATTATAATATAAATGGTAACATGAAAAACACAAAGTCATTATTACTCTAGCTTCAAGAAAATTTAGAGAATATTGAGATAGCATACTGTACACTGTATGTTACCATCATAGAAATTAAAGAAAAATGCAACACATAACTTGAGCAAAGGATAGATCCTTCTTGTCTTTACAATCAGAAAGACTTTTGACTTCACTTGTATACATCAATTCACATAGACAATTTGTTTTTTTTTTACACAAAACTGAGGAGAGAAACATTCAACTAAGAGGTGTCATGTAAATATATCATTTAACCAAATATCAAACTTCAAAAACTATTACAATCAGGAACTGTACAGACTTTTTCTATAATTAGTCAACTTCCCTCAAATTCATTCTACATATGAAAAAGTAGCCCTCAAATAATAAGCTAATTTACATGTACTGTTATAAAGAGCTAAAGCACTTATTACACATCCAACATTCATCACAAAAAATCTGGGATGATACTTCAAGAAAATTTTGCTACAGTGATTCAAAAACAAATGACCTTCTCAGCCCACAAAACCTGATTTGAGGAAATGGTTTGGGATACAAGAGTCCCATTGACACAGCTGCACTTATTACACTGGAGGAAACTCAGAGTCATCATCAAACTTAAGGACACTCTTCGGAGGTGATTCACAGGCAGCAGCCATCTCACTCATCTTGTCTGCTTCTGCCAAGAGATAAGAAAAAATATTAACCATTATTAAGGATACATTATATACCATTTTTATAATTATCCTTAACACCACACCACTTACTGTATTAATAATTCATTCATAACTAAAATAAATGTATCCTCATCAATGAAAAAATGAAAGTGGGTCATTAGAGTTACAGGTAGTGTGGATGTATCACAAAGAATACCAAGTCCTGGTGTACAAGGAAGTACATTAAAGTGGCTGCCACTACACTCAACCAGCTTCACTTCCCCAACTGCTAAGTCAGGTACTCATTCAAAGCAGGGTAGATGAGACAACTCTCTCAAACCCGGGAAAATCTCCCATCCCTGGAATTTTTCAGGGTACCAGAAAAATTTTCTTTGAATTTCCAGAAAATGCGCCCCTTGGAAAATCGTTCCCAAACCCGGAATTAAAGTAAAAAAAATCCAAGCAAATTTCAATTCTGGCTATCGGAGAGTTCCGGCTAATGGAGATATTACTACCTTGGATACAAGCCATGACTAGCGCCAAGTGTTATAATCACTCACTCGCTGCGCCTCTTTCTAATTATAACTACAGTGGTACCCCACTTAACGCGGTCAATTGAACCCAGAGGGTCCCGCGTTAAGTGAAAACCGCGTTAAGTGAATAACAGAACATATGGGATTAATTCCAATAGAACCCAGCCCGACCCCCAAACTCCACTTTTTGACGACAAATAACTATGTTGTAGTAAAAATAACATCTTAATTTTATGATGGTACATGCACACAATTAATACTTAAGAGAAATACAGTCGCCAAGTTAATGTCCATTCAAATAATGGACTCAACTCCCTCCCCCTCTCACACTACAGTACACAGCCAGCTAACAGATGGTCGGTCGGTCCCTCCCTCCCCCCCCACCCCCCACCAACCGTCCCAAGGAGATGTGTGGGATAACCTCAAACTAAAGTTAGGAAAATATAATTGACATTGCTGGATTCCTTGTAAGACCAGGAATATTTTGAATATAAATGTCATATATTTTTCACAAAAGATAACATACTTACTCAGATTAAACATTTTATCTAAAAATTGTATGTTTAATGCAAAAAATATGTTGTTTATATTCAAAATGATCACCAAATTATAAGAATTCCAGCAATGTAAATTATATTCTGGCCGGATAATTTGTATGAATTTTATGAGCTAAAACAAATATCTACAGTTAATAAAAAAAAAAATATATTCTTCAACACTATCTGTCAATCAAAGTACCCCACCTTGCCTCCCCCCCTCTTCCAACCGCGCGGTCAGTCCCAACCCTCCCCCCACCCCCCACCAATCCTCCATTCAAGAGTTTTTAACATTTAGTATTAAATAATACCTCAGATTAAAGTTAGGATAATATAATTGACATTGCTGGATTCCTTGTAAGACCAGGAATATTTTGAATATAAATGTCATATATTTTGGACAAAAGATAACATACTTACTCAGATTAAACATTTTATCTAAAAATTGTATGTTTAATGCAAAAAATATGTTGTTTATATTCAAAATGATCACCAAATTATAAGAATTCCAGCAATGTAAATTATATTCTGACCGGGTAATTTGTATGAATTTTATGAGCTAAAACAAATATCTTCAGTTAAAAAAAAATAATTCTTCACCGGGTAACAGATGGTCGGTCGGTTGGTCCCTCCCTCCCCCCCACCCCCCACCAACCGTCCCAAGGAGATGTGTGGGATAACCACTAAATTTTAATAAATAATACCTCAAACTAAAGTTAGGATAATATAATTGACATTGCTGGATTCCTTGTAAGACCAGGAATATTTTGAATATAAATGTCATATATTTTGGACAAAAGATAACATACTTACTCAGATTAAACATTTTATCTAAAAATTGTATGTTTAATGCAAAAAATATGTTGTTTATATTCAAAATGATCACCAAATTATAAGAATTCCAGCAATGTAAACTATATTCTGGCTGGGTAATTTGTATGAATTTTATGAGCTAAAACAGGCAGTCAGGCAGGGTGGCGGGTGGGGGGTGGTGCGAATCTAAAAATAGCTCTCGAGCCGGACACTCACCGCGTTGCTGTGGAAAAATCCGCGTTAAGTGAAAGTTCAGCTTTGGCAAGGCACCGCGTATATGCGAAAACGCGTTAAGTGAAAGCGCGTTAAGCGGGGTAATACTGTATAATCAAATAAGAAATGAAGGATTGATCCTGATATCATTTATGGCTAAGCCTGAAACGTACTGTTGAAACTCATCAAACAATTAGTAACTCTCCCCTATTGCAACACTTGCCCTAAAAAGGAGTACTGTACTTTGAAGCAAACATTTTTCCTTTATGAACAATAGAGTGAGGAGAGTGGATGAACTTGTGATGACACAAAAGCAACTAATGTAAGCTTCTCATCTTTCTTTTGAGTAAGCCATACTCCATCTGTCAGCAAATGGAGTCTCATGGAATTTTTAGTGGTACACATATGAGTGAGGTATCATGCAGTTCTTGAGAAAACGTAGAATTCCAAATTTTGATGGTGCCCAACTATCTTCCCCAGCAGAGTGGAGTTATTTAGGAAACTAAATGGTACACAGTTCCAGCTTTGATATTTGATTTATTACTGTATAGTAGAACGTTGATTTAAAGCGATTCAATTTAAGATTATTGATTTAAAGCGACACCCACAATTAAGGACAATGTTTTAATTTAAAGCGAATCTTTCCTATTTTGCGCGAGTCAATCTGGCACATCGTATTTTAAAATTCGCGCCTAAAGTTTCTCTGGGCACGCTACACTGTCCTAAGGGCAAAGCTGTATTGTACATGTACTCAAAATAATGTACTAAAAGTTTTGTTTTGTGCAAACTATGGCATGTTATATTAAAATTAATCACTATCTTATAAGAATTCCAGCAATATAAATTATATTCTCCCAGGTCACTTCTGTGACATTTTATAAACAACAAAACAAAAACTCAATCTAAAGGACATAAATAAACAAATAAATACTTCACTAGACCTTCAGCCCCAACTGTCACCTCCCCTCCCACCCCCCTCCCCATCTTCCCAGCAAGGGTTGGCTGGTTATAGGCTTACAGTTTTTATCTTATATAATATCACAGATTAAAGTTAGATATAATTTGCATTGCTGAATCCTTGCAAGACAGCGAATAATTTGAATATAAACATCATTCTTAAGGACAGATAAATAAATAAGCACTAGATCTTGGCATCAACTGACAGATACATCACCTCACCTCCCCCCCCCTCCCTCATCTTACCATCAGCTATCACTAGTAAACAGACCATTTCACATCCCATAATTTTAGCTGTGTTGATTTAAGAGTGTTTGTTTTAACATAATACTACCAAAAACAATGTTTTGTTAATCTAGGAGATGGGCATAGAGGTGCATCTGGGTAGACTCAGTATTTTTAGTATTTTGTGTCTCTCAAGTACAGTACTAAAATAAATTATTTCATTGAAACAGCACTTCAATTTAGTGCGATTCGGTTTAAAGCGACCTCTCTTGGAACGTATCTTGTGTTATATTGACGTTCTACTGTACTGTACTGTACTGTGCTGTGCTGTACTGTACTGTATTGTACTGTACTGTACTGTACTGTACTGTACTGTACTGTAATGTACTGTACTGTACTGTACATCAAAACAATCAAAACTAAATACGGTTGTATGCAACATGTTATTTAACCTTGTCATTTGGACAATTTTGCAACATGATTGTATCCTTCAAGATGAATTGCTTTGAGATTTATAGAAAAATTATACACAAACCCAGTGCTGGATTTAGACCTGTGGAGGCCCATGGGCAGCCTCTTTGTGGAAACCCCCTCATATTAACTATCCAAGAGGGTGGGGTGGCGAGTGAAGCGAGCCTAAACATCTGGAAGTTCCGGGGGTCGCTGTAAGGCCCCCGGAAAAATTTTGAAATTTGAACACTTCTTTGGACTATACTGTGTTATACTGTATATAATGAACGTGGAACTGACAGAAACCGTCATTGACATAATTAATGTACTCAAAATATATAAAAATAACTCAACTTACTTGCAGCCAATCGACCTGTAGTATCTTAAAGCACAATTATATATGTGAACGTATATTCTAAGAGCACACCCACCCACACTCAAGCACAAGCATCAATCAACTCTCTCTCACTCGCACTCTCACTGTACATTTGCAAGACATGTTCTAGGAAATGACAACTGACAAGATCATTCATCACTGAGCAGCGACGACTTCACTCAACAAGCACACATGACAATTCTCTCTCTCATTTTACATCTGCAAGACATGTTTATGTCTACTTGAGGAAAGTTCACAAATCATGGGCGACGCCAGTCTCCTCTTTAATCGACAGACACATGACAACCGATGTGCAGATACTACACGACCCAACCCCCTCCGACCGACTGTCAACAAACACAGCGCCCTGATGGCATTCGTAATGGAAGTGATAATGAAAAAAATATTTTATTTGTTTTTTTGAATCTCAATTTCGTTATTCCATATGGTTAATTTTTAATCAACATATGTTTGTGGAATTCTAAATATTTAATCAGCAACACAAACAATAGCATTCATTAAAAATATATGGTTCATAGGAAAACCAGGTATTCATGAATTTCAAGGAGTAGCTAGCCTAATTTCTATCAAGCTTCTTGCTGAACATAGTTTTACGTGATGGAATAGATAAACATGAATTTTAAAGAATGAAAATAAAAATAATCCAAATGAATAAACAAATAAATAAAATATTGTAATATGTGGAGGCCCCTGGGCAACTGCCCACTTTGCCCACTCCTGAATCCGGCCCTGCACAAACCGAACTATTCTAGATAATTTTTGAAGAATTTTTAAAATACCAAATTGTAAGATTTAATACTCTGTTAATACATAACTACAAAATCTCAATATATTTAAAAATTAAGGCCACGAGCTTCGTGTTATCAGATGTACGATACACTCCCTTTAGAATAACTATTTTG